AAAAAGGACAAACAAAATATCAATAAAGACAGCCAATGATTTAATCATCGCCAGTCATATGTTGTTTCTCTTCTATAAACTAGCATCACAAAATTTCCACATTTCAACATAGTTCACCACACTACTCCGAGACAATGCAGTTAATTGTGAGACATGAGATAAAGAACGAAGACAGAACAAAATCTGATGAATTATACGTTATGCTTCTTCCTGATCTTGCCCTTGCCGTGATGCTTCCTTTTGGCCAATTTGATCTTTTTCTTCAGCTTCTTCCCAATAGGCTTCAAAAATTTGGAGCTCTCATTGCCATCAGCCATCTCCACATCTGCTAATAAGATAGGTTAAGATCGAAACTATTTTTACACAACAGCCGTAAACATGTATATATCTATGCCAAAAGATGCAAACTTCACAGGTAAACACAGGCTGAATAAATGCAATTGTGAACAAGAATATTATTTCAAACAAAAAACTTGTATTTAAAAGAACATAACGAAAGCCTTGCATTTAAATGTGTTGCCGAAGATCGTGAAGCTGACGAACACTATCTTCCCCTTGTTTGTAAGATTTTGATAAAGCAAAGACCGAATCAATGCTTCTAATTTCCAAAGTTGATAAAGGTTACATTTTTACAACACGAATGCCTAACATACCAAGATCACAATTTTGTCACACCAATGCTTCAGATATGTTTGCTTCACTAATTCTATAGTAGCAAAGATATACTAAATATGCAAAATAAAGGAAACATTAAATGAAAACTTTGAAAGACACTAAAGATTTCCAGAGCTTAGATGAGCCATAGGCCATAGCACGAATCCATAGAATTTGAGAAGAGAGAAGCAAGATATGATGAACCAAACCTAAGCCCTCGGAGCCAGGGAGAGATGCGGAGGCGATATCCATGTTGTTGGAGGGCGGCGGCCTGACCGGAAGCTTGGGTGCGGCGAGGGCGGCCTCCTGGGCGGCGAGCTTGGCGGCCTCTTTCTTGTCGTAAATTGGCTCAACGAGCTCTCTCCTCGCCGCCCTTAGCCTCTTCTCTCTCTTCGACCTCAATGATTTCGCCATTGTTTTTGCTCTGTGAACAGAGAGAAGCTTTTGCCGTTTGAGATGAGGGCGAATGTTGCTAGGGTTTTGTCAGGTTGAGAGGGTGGGACTCTTTTCTTAGGTTGAATGGACGAAGATACCCCTGGCTGACCCACATCACGGACACAGGTATACAATATATATATCATTGGACCTTCAGGTTAGATGATTCATCAATCATCAGAGCCCAAATTACAAGCCCACGAGATGACTACTTATCAGGTTAGCCCAACAAGCAGTGACCTCATCAACCAAAACTTTAATTTTTTTCACTACTGCTCGATTAGGGCTCGATGAGCTGCCGGCTGCGATTCTCAAGGCTCGGTTCGATTCGATAAAAATGCACAAATTCTATAGATCATGACCTCGTATTATGCTTGAATTCAACTAGATTTTCCAATAAAATATTATATATAAATTAGATTTTTCTCAATTTTGACTTAAAATTAGTTATACTTCTATTTGAATGGCTCATCAAAAGGCTTCGAGCTCGTCAGCTGTTGGAATATCACTTGTGAGTCGTTCTACATTGATTTGATATGGTAAATGAGCCTAGTTTATAAGTCTAGTGAGTTACTCTTCCCATTTGGGATGAAACATCACTACACCTAGACTGACCCCCTTATGGTGGTTTCACCTGTGTGGGACCGCACTCCTGATTCCTCGATTATAAAAAATGTGGCACGAGGTTGTGAAATATAGACTTGAGTTTAGGTTTGAGGTGTTCTTGGAGATTCTTATGTATGTAGCTCTGTGCCATTAGTGAACATTAGTGAGTACATATCAATTTCAATAATTATTATTGCTCTTCAATATCCATTGATTGTGAAGATATTGTCATTTTGCTAGGGACACACAAGACAAGATTACTAAATGGGGTTGTCTATTCATTGGTTAAATCATGGATGTGGGACTTAATAATGTGGCTTGATTTTAATGGCTGTACTGAAAATTCAGCACAACGTACAACACATCAGAGAAAATGGGTCTGTGAAGCATATGCCTTCTGATATAGGGCTTTGACTTTTGGGTGGGTTTAAATTGGTTATAACATTAACATCCCTTTTGGCCCATGCTTGAAAATGTAGTCATGAAAGAGAGGAGGGGGAAGGTGTGTGATTAGGAATTTACACTCCTTACTTCAAGCTATAATTTTTATTATATTTATATATTTCTTATATTCTTATTTATAAAATTACTTAAACAAGTTAAAAATATTTCAATAATACCTGATATATAAGATGTAATTGTTATTACCCTTTTTTCTGGCTTATTAAATGCTAATTAAATTTGCACTTTATCTCTCTCCCTTCCTCTCTCTCTTCGTCTTCTCTCTCCCTCTTCCCCCTCTCTCTCTCTCTTCTTCTTCTTTTTCTTCTTCTTCTCCTATAATTTTAATGTTAATTGTTTTTCTAAATCAAGTGCAATGGAAAGGGGATGCAAGGGGAATTACTATAAACGAGACTCGGTAAAACTTAATCCAATTCCATTGGCATACTCCTTCTGAAATTAAGCGGGGTGGAGTACGACAACTCGAGCGACATTTGAAGAGTTTCGATTGGATTATTTCAATGTTTATTTTATGTTTATGTATATAGTTTATGTTTAGTAGAATTTGATATGAGACGAAAAATGAGAATTTTTTTTCGGTTGATTATTTGTTTATGTTATTTTAGATATTCATTTTTGACAAAAACTTGGTGTGCCTGAATCCGTTTTGACGAATAACTTGTTGTTGTTTTGGTATTCATTTTTTTGTTGACGAATAACCTGGTGTTGTGTTTGGCTATGATTGAATCCTTCTCAGAGGATAATTGTCGAACACTTAAGAATCCTTCATTTTTTAAGTTTTAGTATATGTAGAATGTATATACAATATATGTTCAGTATATGTACGCCTTAGGAATATGTAACATAATCCCGAATTAGTATATGTTGAGTTTATATTTAGTACAAAACAAAGAACATCATATTGAGTTTAAATTTGACCTTCCTAAAACAAAGGACACGGCTATGTTGAGTTTAAAAGTCAATATAAATTTTCATGTCTTGAAATGGCAGTATATATTGAGTTTATTTAGTATATATTTAATATATGTTGCAATAAGCTCCTAACATACAAAAAAAAAAAAAAAAAAAAAATATTGTTCATTTGTTAGTTTCGTCTTCAATAAAATATTCTCTTATTATACCACGTATAAACTCAACATATACTAATTTGGGATTATGTTTTGGATATATTTTCATTCCATATATAATGGATTTCTATAATTTAATGTTCCCATTTAATTAGCAATCATTGCCGTAATTATAGGTGTGAGACGTTATTTTTCAATGGACGTTAAACTTTAAAAAAAAAGAAGATATAATTTTTTATGAAAGACATGTTTTTCATTGCAACATATACTGAACATATACTAACATTAACGCAACATATACCCACTGGACAGCTGCGTGAATTACAATACATGTTTTTATTTCTCTCTATTAAAAACGTAAAAAGTGCGCGAATCTATATATGTATAAAAAAATTTACCATTTTTCAAAAATAGTAGGTCAAATTTTGGTCAAAAACATTTTGAATTAATTACATTCCATTCTTAGTAACTTTTTTTTTTAATAAAAAAGTAGCATTAAATGCTACCCATTAATTAAGGATTTTGTTATTTTGGTTTTCAACAAAACCATGAATGTTGCCTATTATTTGGGGCTGATGTTGTTTTATTTTTAAAAATAATGTTTAATAAAGGAAATAACTATATATTACCCTAAATTGCTGGATAATTATATTGTCTTGCTTTGCGTCTTTACTTGCTTAATAAATTAATTAGTGTTGATTTAATACTCAACTGGTCAAACCTTTTTTTTTTTCAAATTAAAAATAAATATGTATAACCGATAAAAAAAATAAATATGTATAGATAATATATTAATTACTTTACAAGCTAGCCCGAATATACAAGTGAAAAATATATGATAACCCTATTGATTTTTAGACTTAAACGAATAGAGTCGTCTGAAAATAATTAATTTAATATCTATGTCTCATGCATTGCACGGGGTACGTACTAGTTAAGGAATTAAAGGAATTATTATAAGCATATTTAGGGAGATGTAGGTTGAAAGGGATTAATTTAATATCTATGTCTCGTGCATTGCACGGGGTACGTACTAGTTAAGGAATTAAAGGAATTATTATAAGCATATTTAGGGAGATGTAGGTTGAAATGATATGGTAACTGATTTAGGCATTAATATAAATAAATAAGGTATTTTAGGTAGACACACAATTATTAATATAGATATGGTAAACTTGTAATTTAAGTTAAAATCACGTAGCACACGTGAAAATTTCCCGATGGTTATTTGTTTTAAATAAAATGTTAGATTTGAATTCACTTCGAGATTTATTATAAAATATATTTTGAATAATTCAAAATTTTACAAATGAACACTCAAAATTTTCCTTAGAAAATTAATCCATCATCATTTTTCTTACAAATTATAGTTTGAGGTTGTGTATTGTATTTACTATTTGCAATATTCAATAAATCTAGTTTTATTTTGATATTAAATTTGTTATAGTTTTCCAAATCAACGATGTTGTGGAACCAACAGTTCACTCTGGAATGGAATCGTTTTTTATACATAGCGAGTAAAATAATATTATATTAACTAATTAAATCAAAAAAATACAATTAACAACTACTCGATAAGAAAAATAATCACAATAAAAAGTAAAAGCATTTATACTTTTTAATTTAAATTTCTAAAAAAAAAGTACTACGAAAAAGTTTATAATATTATTTTAGATTATATAACTTCTGAGTTATCTGGAAAATTTTAACTTCCAATGTTTAACTAAAAGAACTCAAAAAAATTTACATAATTTAAAATATAATATTACAAATTATAAGTATTTTTTTTTTCAAATTTAAATTAAAAAATGTAGCATTAAAAAATGTAGCTGCTTTCACTTTTTCATTGTGGTTATTTCTCTTATCAAATAGTTGTTAATTGTATTTTTATTTAATTAGAGAATATAATATTTTTTTACTGATTATATAGAGTAGGTTGACAGTTGACTCCATTATAAAACCAACGGTTAACTAGCTGTTTTTTCAAATACATATTTAAACTTTCAAAATTTATACACACTACCAAAGAGCGCTTGGATGAGATGGTTTGGGTCTCTTCCAGCTTAACCAGTGGTCTCGTGTTCGAGCCCTGGGAATGCAGCAGTGTTAAAACTCTTGAGGGAGAGCTTTGCCGCCCTTGTGGTCCTACCCGGCTCGATTCCGGATTAATCGGTTCCATGTGGATCCGGAAACCGGAAGGTCCCTGTACCAAAAAAAAAAATAAAAAATTATACACACTAATCTTTTTTATATTAGATTGAGGCAAGTAAGATTGGTTATACCTTTTTGCCAAATTTAGCCCCACCCTAAGTCCTATGCTCCTAAAATCCAAATATACACAAACTATATTTCACCTTTTGTTCCCTCCTTTTGACCAATCCATCATTGGCTTGAAATTTCTTTTTTTCATGCAAGAAGCTCACAACCCCATTTTCACAAACAAGTCAAAAAATTTTGGAGCTTTTTGTAATAAAGCTCTAGAAAAAGAGATGAAGCTTCTTATCCATTTATTAGATGGTTTCCTCGTTAATTTTAATCATTAGACGTCGCGTTCTAGTATCGTAGTTCTCGGGCCTCTAGGCTCCATCTTTATACCAAAAAAAAAAAAAAAAAAAATGAGCTGATTTGAGTGTTAAAAAAAACTATTGAAATATGTTAGTTTAATAAATGATGTGCTTATTATTATTTTTTTTAGCAATACATTGTATTGTGAAATTGTTTGTTTATGGTGACTTTCACAAGACTGTTTTAGGATAAAGAGTAAAAAACAATTGTCACAATTTGACTTTGTGTTGTGACAAATTTGTGACTAATTTAGGCATATTATCTTAATTATTGTATCTTGTATTATATAATAAACAAATAGAGGCACATGCACAAACAGACATACCATTATAAATTAACTACACACATTAATATTTAAATTCAAAATACCACCTTTAGTATATAATTCATGTCATTTTCATGGTGCACCGACATATATACACAAACATATAATAAAAAGTATATATGTATATTGTATCGTATCTTGATTTCAACATGTCACGGTTTTGAATATTAATAATGCAAATATAGTAGAAAATAGGAACTCATATTTAATTATTTTACCCACAATGACTTTTTTAAATTAAAATTAATGTTATATTAGTTATTTTTTCTATTTAAGATTTTAAAAGTATTGAGATATTTTAATATCAAACAACTTTCCAAAACATTCAACAACGTTTTCATTTAAAGTGACATCCGTATTTATGATTACAAAAAATTGTTCTAATTCCAATATATTTGATATATCATACATCACATGTATGTAGTGTATGAATATTTTCTTTTTTCAATAAAGGAGTCGCCTCAGTTTGAAATCAACCCGTTTAAGCTCGTGATAGCTCCGCTCGACTTGTTTAAAGAACCTTAAATCTCAAATTATCTGTTCGCAAAAACAAAATGTTCGTCCGTGAATAAGTTCGACTCGACTATTTCATTTAAAAATTAAAACCCCATAAAAGAATTTAATGATCATGAACATACTCGGTTCAGCTTGTTTAATTAACGAGCTCGATTATCTATTCAAGTTCGGTTCGATTAAGCAAACAAATGAACCGAACTCAAACCTTCACGAGGTGAATCGAGTTGTGTTCGCAAACTGTTTGATTCATTTAACTGCTCAACGGGTCATTACAAACAAAACGGTCCGTTCAGTTCGGTTCGGTTTGGGACTAAGCCTTAAAAAACCAGGCAATTCTCTCTAAAACAAGGAGCTCTGTCCAGTGTCCATATATCAAATTCAAACATCAACCTCAGCAAAATAATATTTTTATTTTACCACACTCTCTCTCACACACAGTTGTCTTTTCTGAAGCTCCCCTTCCTTTCTCTCTCTCTCTCTCTCTTCACTCTCCACAAACAGACACAGAGTAAGATTGCCTGCACCATAAGTCCTGAAAGTCTTCTTTGTTTGCAGTCCCGCTCAACGCCACTCCAAATGGGAGTTTTTTGTACACTTCTGTAAAAAAAAAAAAAACCCATCTCATATGAAGAGTTCAAGATCTTGTTTTTTCTTTTCAGTTCCTTCCAAAATCCCATAAAGCTACAGTCTTTATCGGAAAAAATCAAGAATCCCAAATGAAACAATGGAGCACAGCAGACGCAGACTCATACTAATCATCGTCCTAACCTCGTTATCAGCCTCAGCAGTTCTTTCCATCTTACTCTTTTGTTTTCTGAGAAGAAAAACAAGAAATCTGCCTACAGACAGAGAGGCCGCGTTTGGGTGTACAGAAGAAGGGCCGGCGAGCAATGGGGATCTGGTTAAGTTTCAGGGCGGCGAGAGTCTGAGCGTTCAGGTGATTCTAGAAGCGCCCGGTGAGGTTATTGGGAAGTCTAGCTACGGGACGCTGTATAGGGCTTGTTTGGACGATTCGAATTCGCTTGCTTTGCTTAGGTTCTTGAGGCCCACTTGCACGCTGAGGGTAAAGGAGCTGATGCCTATTGTGGAGCTGTTGGGGTCCGTAAGGCATCCGAATTTGGTGCCGCTGTACGCGTTTTACGCGGGGCCCCGCGGGGAGAAGCTGATGGTTCATCCCTTTTATGGAAATGGAAATTTGGCTCAGTTTATCAGAGGTAGTAAAGCTGTCTTGGGTTTGGATTTTTGGTATGAAAAATTGCTTCAGTTTTGGCTTTCATGATAAATTATCCTGCCTTTGGGAAGACAGTAGAGGTTTATTTATATGGTTACTGTTGAAAGTTGCTATTGCTTTCTTTATAATTGATTGGTTACGACAAATTGTTGAGTGAATCTTGGGGAAATGTTTGTCGTCGATCTTGATTCACGGCTTCTAGATACGAGTTTCGTTTTGTGCATTGATTTGATTCTTTGGTGATTCTGGAAAGCACTGAGATGTTGTGCTCTGATTGCTTGTTAAGTGTTGATGTCGTTTTCCCATGTTCGTGTGGTGGTTTGTGTGAAGGGCTAGACATGATTAAACGATCGATCATTTGCAACTTATGTGAGTTGTGATCGCTTTAGTTAACGGATTTCCTTAGCTAGCTTTCGTCATTAATTGACCTTGTAGAGTACTAGGCTGCCATCCGTTCTCGTTCCAATTCCAAAAATCTTCTTGATCAGTGTAGTTCGTAAATTGTGGTTCTACTAATGAGCTGTGTTGGGCTAAGATTATGATTGCATAGATATCAATCTCTGATTAGTGTATAGTCTCCTTTCCAAATGGGAACTTCTAACATTCTACCACATTATTATACGATCTGAGGAAACAAAAAACGATCAATCCAGTCGTATTATCATTTTGTTATTAGCCCTTTATAAGCTTTCCATAATTCACCACATATCAAGTCATATAGCACACGTGACATATACACAAACCAATATACCGAAAATAACTAACACGTGTGTTAAATGCAAACAGATAGCAACCCTGAGGCCCACAGATGGACCACCATTTGCAGAATCGCGCGTGGCATTGCCTGTGGGGTCCATCACCTCCACACGTTCTTCAACAAGCCCATTATCCACGGCAATCTCAAGTCAAAGAATATAATCCTGGATCGCCACATCAGCCCGTTTGTGTCCGACTATGGGCTGCACCTTCTCGTGAATCCTGCTTCGGGCCAGCAGATGCTCGAGGCCTCATCCTCCGAGGGGTACAAAGCCCCTGAGCTGATCAAGATGAGAGAAGCTTGCCAGGAGAGTGATGTGTACGCCTTAGGGGTGATTTTGTTGGAACTTTTGACGGGGAATGAGGCAGTCGATGGGAGCCCAACTCCCGATCGGGATTTTCATCTGCCGAGCGCTGTGAGGAGCGCGATTCTCGATGACCGTATTGCAGAATTGTACCGCCCGGAAATTCTTGAAGGGCTGAGTGAGGAGCGGAGGGCGGCCGTTGAGGATGGAATTTTGAGATACTTCCAGCTGGCGATGGCCTGCTGTTCGCCGTCTCGCGTGCTGAGGCCCAACATAAAGCAGGTTCTCGATAGGCTTGAGGAAATTTGCAAGTAAAAACATGCATGCTCATGCATGCTTGATTGAAAGTTTTGATGGAAGATTAATGATGGCTACTAATTTGAAGATCCTCATTTATCGTATTTTTTTTTAAATGAAATTCGTCGCGAAAAAAGGCTTGTGTCGAGTAGAAATTCGTAAATTTTGGATTTTTTTTACTTGGATCTTTAAGTTAGTGGTGGTTGGAGAATGATACTGTGTTTTAGATAGTTGCACTTGCAGTTAATGGTAGCAAAAAGTGGAATGCATATTCTCTGAGGTGCATGCAGCATGGATATTGTTTAGGGAGATGCTACGGTCCCGTTATGGAATCATTCCGTTGGGGTATGTAACCGTTAGATCAACTATCCCGACGGTCAAATGATGATCTAACGTTTACAATTTCCGACGAAATGATTCCATAACGAGACCGTAGCATTTTCATATTGTTTATGCTGGAATTAGCTTTAATAAGTGACTCCTGATGAAATAGGCTCACTTGTTATGGCAATTCTTGAAAAGAAAAAAGGCAAAATATAGATTCAGACAGAGAGAAGGAGAAAGATTCATTAATCACACTTGCAGCTCATAACATTCTCAAAGCTAACAATATTCAACTGGACATTACATTTAAGTACATAAATCTGACCAACTCTTGATGTGTGTATGTGTGTGTGTGTGTTGTGGATTGAAGAAGCTGTTCTATAACTATTAACTACTCTATCTATTTCATACATTTGAAACATCTAAGACTGATGTTTCATTACAAAACTAAGAAGAAAATCCATGAAGCAAGAAAAAAAACCCCCCATAAATACAAGAAAAAATAAATAAAATCATGTTTGTTTTCCAGATTTCCACTCTATAATGGCAGATAGAAGTGTGTAATTCGGCGTAAGGTATTTGTGCGGCAATGGTAATCCAGTCACGGGCGATGCATCTTTCTCCTCGAGCCATGTCTCTATCGCCCGGCGATCGTAAGTATACCCATCCCCAGCGACACACGGGTCAGCCATTACCTCCTGCAATTCATGCAAAAGCTCGGTTATTCGCTAACACCGAGCAAATAAACAAGCAATTGAATCGAAGTTCGTTCGGCTTAAAGAAAAAACTCATTACCACGAAATTTGATTACATTCTAAAGTTTTCAGAAAGTACAAGAACTACGATTTACTGAACATTTCTTCTTCTGTCACTCTGCTCACATTTTTTAATTTCACACCATTGCTCACTGTCACTCACTCCCATTTCTCACAGCCAAACATATCCAGACCATTATTAAACTATTTCAATTCCAGATCAACAATATTATTATCAGAGGCTTTTATCTTTAGATCCAGTATGATTATCCTCAGAAAATGATTCCGATCGCCCCCAAGATTGTTTTTTGAATTCTTCAACAGAAAGCAAACAAATCCCACATTGAAATCATATAAAAGACAATCCCACTGAAAAACATAAACACACACCCACACACACACGCACACACACACACACACACACAGAGTAGACGCAAAAAATACCTTGACAATCGGACATATGAAGTGTTTAGGAGGCGGCTGAAAAACCGACCCCAAATTCCGAGCCTTCTCTGCAAACTCTCTCAACCTCTCCAAAACCGGTAAAACCTCTTCCCTTAAATCCGGCCGATCCCTCTGCCTCATCTCCGTGCACTTCAACCCCAACATCGCCAACTCTCTCGTCTCCTCCTCCGGCCACTGGCCGCCTTCCTGGTCGAGCACTTCCACCAGACGGCCCTCCTCAGCCGCACTCTCCACTGCGTGGGTCAGGGCAATCGCCGGTTTTCCGGTCAGCAGCTGCAAAACAACCATCCCAAACGCATACACATCGGATTTTGGCGAAACTACGCCTGTTCTCTGGTACTCAGGGTCGATATAGCACAATGTGCCGACGAGCCCATTGTCGCTGTACGTGGCGGGAAGTGAGAGTGGGTCGCAGCTGACCATTGTCGAGAGGCCCACGTCCCCGATTTTGCTGACGAGGTTTCGGTCGAGTAAGATATTCGCGGGCTTGAGGTCTCGGTGGATTATGGATTTAGGCTTGGCCTCGTGTAAGAAGACAAGTGCGGAGGCCACCTCGTGGGCAATTCGAAAGCGGTCGGGCCACGGGAGGGGAGGAGTGGCATTCTTCCTGAAGATTCTGTCCTCGAGGCTGCCGTTTTCCATGAACTCGTACACGAGGCAGCTGTGTTCAGGGCAGGCGCCTAGGAGGATTAGAAGGTGCGGGTGGCGGATCTTGCTCAAGATCTCCAGCTGTAAATCAGAGAAAAGAGAGCATTCAAAAATATTCAATATATGGAATGGGTTATTGCGGACCAAAAAAAAAAAAAAAAAATGCCATTATTATGATCCATCTCGAAGAAAATGGCCTACTGTGAAATGGGTCTTCCATCTTATTATGGAAAGATCTTTTCTTTGCTAACAACAATACTAACAGTTTCATGGAAAGTCCTACCCACGGTTCGAAATTTTATCTAGATGAAGATGATTATAGTTGATATTTTGAAATACTAAAATGAGATTATTTTTTTCCCATCTAAAAGGTGACACGTCACGTTGTGTTTTGTGTTTGCCAAAAGTCTCAAAGAAAGAGATTATAATGTGGATCATTACTCTCTCTCTCTCTCTCTCTCTCTCTCTCTCTCTCTCTCTCTCTCTCTCTCTCTCAAGCATACCTCCTGCCGAAACTGTTTGTTCCTGCTAGCTTCCTTGGCATGCAGAATTTTTGCAGCAGCTATCGTATGCTGAAAGCTGCATTTGTACACAGTCCCATAAGCTCCCATCCCAATTTTGAGACTATCAGAAAAGGATGATGTGGCGGACACAATTTCTTCCCATGTAAATGGACGGTACTGATTGAAACTTCCATTCAAGGCACTCTCGAGTTTTTCTTTCTCATTGGTCTTACGGGACGCTCTCATCTCGGCTTCTTTTCTTTCCGCAGCTTCCCTTTTGGCACATTCCTTGATGAATTCAGCTTCCTTTTTAGCATCTTCGTATCTCCTTTTCTCCTGTCTAGCCAGCTCTTTCGCTTCTTCCTCCTTTAAGCTTATCTCATTGAGATTATTTTCCTCCTCCACACGACGCTTCTCGAGTTCGCTAAGCTGGAAGATAACAAGAAAGTGAAAATACAACGTTAAAAATAAAAGTAAATAACGAAATTCAGAATATAACATATAGCTCCCTCTTGGAGTGCAATTTATTATATAGAGAGAGATATCAATGCAGTACTTGTAAGGGAGATGGTTGATTGCTTTTGTAATTAGATTGCGGTATTTTTATAATACTATAATATAATAGCAATCTAGCAAGCACGCAAAATATACCTTCCTAGAGGCTTCAATTGCCTCGCCTTGGGCCACTGCATACATTCCTCGAATATGTGTGAGTTCACTTCTCAATTTTTCGAGCTCAAGATTGATATTAGCCTGCAGGAATGGTTAAAATTAGTCATTAAAACAAAAGGAAAAAATGTTACTCTATGTGATGAGAGTAATGATTACTCTAAGAATTTGATCGGCAAAATAGCAAAAAACTATTTTATGAGGCTAGAAATCATCAAACCAACTTCCTGATAATTGAACAGAAATATCTCATGTTTAAACTTCTGACGAGTTAATTGTGTACTATTACACTTCAGTAGCACATAAAAAGGAATCAAACCGTAAAGTAGTCCATACTAAAATGAGCATAAAACAATCATAAACCTCATGGTTGATTAAACATGATGTTTAACAAGAACAGACCTGATCTAATAATTTATATTGTTGGATAATTTAACGTGCATTGGCAGCAATTATAGCCCTATATAGGATCATGCCACTGAGCATTTCAAATTCAGATTTTTTTTTCCTTCTTTAAAAAAAAAGAAGGGATGCATCGAAACACTCCATTGCAACTACATCACGGATGTATTTCACATTTACGGAGAAAATGTATCCGAATAGGAGAATAATAAGGAATACGTTAACCTGATTCTCACGCAAAGTGGCAGAATTTGAAATTTGATCCCATGAAGCATTGAGTGTTCTGGATCTTGCCACACAACGAGCCTGATTAGTTGCATGGCTTACATTTGAACTATTGTCGACTAACAAACTTCTAGGATGCATGGCTATATTTGAAGCAATTCTTTTATGAAGAAGCGTGTGGTTTATGGCCGAGAGAGCTTGAAAACGCTGTTCTGGCAGTGAAGCAGAACGCAACTTGGAGAACGAATCTTTAACCGTCCATTCTGACAAAGTCGTAAAAAGCAAAAGAAAAGATGACTTCTCCTGGCGAACTCGATTCTACTAACAAAATAGACCATATTGAAATCACATCAACTAACAAGAAAATTAAAGTTTATGCTTGGAACTAATATAACAAGAAACATTTACAAAAAATGGCCCTGAAGTTTGGTCTAACTGCATAAAGCTACGCTTTATCTTTCATAATCTAACATACCTCTTTTTCAGGGAATTTTATAAAAGAATCGTGAATCTTTAATTTGAAACAAAATTAAATAATAATAACAAAAAAATCTTTAATAGTGAATCTCGTGAGCATCTAATCAAATTGAAAAGGTATCAACTAAGCAAAAGCAAATTCCAGCTACCACAAACAGATTTGCTCTATCGATAACATTTTGAAATTGCACAAAAATCTCAGAAAGGTACCTGCTTGCGAGCTGAGAGTAAGGCTTGAAGAATTATCAGAGGAACAACTTGTTTCACTACTGTCGTCTTCAAAGCCTCTGTTTGTTTCGGAATCTGATGGCTTCATTGATGATAATTTTCCTTTAGAAACAGCGTACACACTACAAAAGGCTGGGCAGCATTCTGATATTTTTGAAGACAACATTTGTGCCCTGAGCATCATAGGAAGTAAATTTTCTCAATCAAAACTACATTGTTGATTTAATAGAATATATAACACCATTCGGAGATCCGGAAATTGAGATCAAAATGTAAATTGTAGACTACGAGGCATAGAAAAAATTATGCACTGTTTATTAAGGTCCCCGATAAGTTCTTTATATACAAATAGAAAAATCAAGATTGCTTATGTAGACATAGGCACGAGTTCTAATGAAAATGGATGGGAAAAAAACAAATGAGAGAAAAAATGAAATTTCGATGGCATCCATTATTCCCGAACCGTATTCGGTCATAAACAAAATATCCTTACTGTCATTCAATCATACAGCCGTGTTAATTTAGGAATCCTTCGTAAACAGTTAAGAAATGAATATTACCTTTCGGTTAAATGAATAACTATTCGAAGTATTTTGAAATGCTCAATTTACTTTCTAGTTCTGAATAATTTGATCAGAATCGAAAATAAGTTGCTTTAAATTTCTTGCTTCGCATGTCTTACTACACAAAATGAAGGGCACTTTAATCTTTAACAACATTTTTCACAGAACACCCTCTTTTAGCTTATATATATATCTTAGTTTCCATTTGTACTGTCAATGTTTGAGTATTACCTTGAGAACATACTGCGAGACGAAGTACCAATAACAAGTTTATTGATTTTATGCTTTTGAATATAGCCAGATATTGCAGTCCCCACATCATCTGACTCTATTTGTACGATTTCCACTTGCACCTGCAAAATGAAAACAAGTAAGCACGCCTTCATAATGAAAGCAAAGAATATTTCCAGCCACATACATTTTTTCACCTTTCTTTGACTACACATTTTTTTGTAAGGAAGAAGCTTTTCAGTTATTTGAGACTCCATCTCCTTTTTGAAAGCAGATGCTATGTCCTCCCGAACTTGAGAAATCGGAATGTAGTTTCCCACTGTAGCTAACAAAAAATACGTAATCACCTCAGAATTACAGAATTAATAATTAATAACAGAACATGGATTTTCTTTTTTCGTTTTCTAGAGACAAGCTTACTAGGAGTTGGAATCCTCGAAATCACTGGATGGACGTGCACCAGCTTGAAATATACGTAACCTTCAGGAACAAATTTTTCCAGTGCCCAACTGAGAACATATTTGCTTTTCTTACTTGCACTTATGCCCACTGCAGCCACTGAATTTGCCCGCGAGGGCAGTTCATCGAGCCCTTCATTACTATCGATATTTTTTCCATTCATATTCATATCTCAAAAACCTGCAACAGGATACAAGCTGAAACTCAATTCATCAGAGCACGTCTAACAAGAAAAATCCAATAATACATGTTCAGCTTAATCATTCATTCAATAACAGTTTTTTCTCCCTGCTGCAACTTCATACGCTTTGATCAAATACAAATGAAGTTAAATTGAGTCAAAAATCAGGGCCAGACACAACCCCTCTTCAAAGTTTCTTACAGCCTTAGGAATTAAAAAAAAAAAAAACAAAAAAACAAGATTTTTCTCACAGTTCTTGAAAACCAGGAAAACTTCTTACAACATTCATGATAGAATTTCAAAGTCATGGTTTTCAAAACAAACAACAATCACATACGAAAGTTCCAGTCGTTGACTTCATACTATAATCAATTTTAGGAAAAACAAATATATTAAGGTATATTTCACACCCTCATTCGACAAGTCAAACCCCAAAATCCAAAAAACACAACCTTGAACAAGAACAATCTGAGCCAAGAATCAGGACATGGGAACGGTACCTGGCTTTGATGTTTCAACGAGCGCTAAATCCTTACAAACCCATCATTATTTTCAAGCATTTGTCTGAGCCCAAGAACTCTTTTTACCTCAACACCACTCTCAAGACAACAATTTTTTCTCGAGGAAATTAAGGAAGAAAGACTCAAAGAAAAAAAAAAAGGAATTTTGAATTTGTCGGCCGTGTGTTAAGAGCCCCGACAATCATCACTGAAAAGTAGGTCAACAGTTTATCTACAAGCATCAAGCTTCAACATTTAAGAACCGAATCGTAGACTCGTAGCACATTCGGCGCACCTTTGACGACCACACAATTATACTGTGTTTCATTCACGAGTCTTGATTTACACTGTTACGCATTTTCTTCAAAACTCAGAAGTTCTTCGTTCGTACGTATATACACCGCCACAAAAATGTATCGTAGAGTTAATTACCAATTATGTTAATGTAGTCCGGCTAATATAGTTTAATCATAAGGAAATGCTACGGTCCCGTTACGGAACCATTCCGTCGGGATTTGTAACCGTTAGATCAACTATATCTGACGGTTACATGATGATCTAACAGTTACAAACCCGGACGGAATGGTTCCGTAACGGGACTATAGCATTTCCCTTAATCATATTCCTCACATTGAATAAAATTAAAAAGCCGCAGATAATAAGAATCTCCTTTGACTTGCATATTTAAAGAAAAAATGTTTCTTTTTGGAATGCAATGTTTTTGGCCAAATGGGGACCAATGTACTAGATGAGAAATTCTACGATCCCGTTACGAAATAATTCGCCAGAGTTTGTAATTGCTAGAACAATTATTTCTGACCGAGTCCCGTTACGGAACAATTCTGTCAGAGTATATAAACGTTAAATCAACTATCTCCGACAGTTACATGATGATTTAACGATTACAAACTCCAACGGAATAGTTCCGTCACGGGACCGTTCAAGATTATTAATTAATTAGGATGACATACTTGACCATTCTACTTTATTCAGAAAGTCTATGGAGTTATCGGATGACTCTTTTTATGGAGTCATTCATAACTTTATGTACTTACCATGTCCAATGAGTTGCATGATATGTGTCAATACACTATTTGTGAATAACTATAAATGACTCCATAAACCGAGTCATTCAATGACTCCATAACAAAATTGCTAAGCGATTCTAACAAGTACGATTTTGCTATGAAGCCAACGATTGACTTCATAGTGGAGCCAACTTGCTATATATAACAAATAAATCTACAATATTGATAAAATTAAATTAGTGTTATTTAAGTAATCAGAGAATATGGTAGATTTTCTTTTCGTATATAGAAGGTTGTCTCCATAGCAAAACCGATAACAAGTATGTATTTTACAAAAGCATCTTTTTGTTTATCCAATTGAACCAAGCCGACAAAGTAGACCAAGTCCCAACTCCAACAATTTTAGCCGTTGAATCTCCAATTATTTTCCTCAATTTCATTCAAGTATTGTCACCATACACAATACTAGTGCGTATCCCGTGCGATACACGGGTAAAAAATATTAAATAATAATTATAACTAAGTATCGAGTTCGAGTCACCCAATGAAAAAAGTAGGGAACTACTATTGATCTTTTCTTAAATGAGCCAGAAGATATTATAAATTAAAAATAAAGGTAAACGATATTAAATAATAATTATATATTAACGATGTGGGGTTAACATGTCATATAATTTACGGTATATCAGTTTATTATAAACGATATAAAATTAGCTTGTTCAAGAAAACATAAAATTTGTATGTTTAAACAATTAAAAACTCCTAAAATATTATATTAACATATGTAAAATTATCTAAATATTTCTATATTATTATTAAAAGATGTGAAGTCACCTAAATTTTTTTAAAGAAAATATATCTAAAAACATTAAAATTTACATTTGTATGAAAGATGTTTTCTGAATATGAAATGATAAAATATTATATAAAAGTATTTAAAATATTATAAAATATTATATAAAAGTATCTAAAATATTATAAGCCTAAATAAATACATTATAAAGTTTTGAAAGAAAATTTACCTAGTATATATTTTCCTTTTTTGAATAAGGTAGAGTTTCAGACAAACCTTCCTTTCCTGCTTTGGTAATGGTATAATATAGGTAATGGCTTACTCCTATGGGGGGCTATAAAATAAATATTGACATGATGCTAAAAATTATGACGATACTACCGTACCTGAAAATTTGAGTATAGAAGATATTCTTTTTAGTAATTTGAGTACAAAAGATTTCAAAAAATTATTATTATTCTTTTAAGTAATTTGAGTACAAAAGAATTCAAAATTATTATTCTTTTTTAGTTACTGAAAATATTATTATTATTATTATTATTATTATTATAAGTAATTTGAGTACAAAAGATTTCAAAATTATTATTATTTTTTAATTACGGTAAAAAAGAATTTGTACGCATAAAATTCCACGCTTTATGCATATTTATCAGTTTTACAAATAAAATGAGATTTATCTTATATTGAATGAAAACTAAGATAATTTGCAATAATTAATGATGCACGCAAAAAATACAATACTATGAATCATATTCCAATTTGCAATAGTTATATTGTGAACCTTAAATTAAGGTTGTTATTGATTGACAATTAAAATATTCATCAAATTCATATACAAAAGTACATTAATGCGCATAAATTATACAAATTACAAGTAACTGGTACAATATTCGTGTACCACCTGAATACTTGTTGATTTTTTGTATTTAAAATTAAATAATAATAACGACAATTGTTTTAGCTTTTCTTTTTATTTGGTACAAAAAGGGAAGGACCGGCAAAAACTACGTTCCTACTCTACGAGTGTAGGATGCACCAAACATATCATGTTCTAACCAAGGCCGTAAACCAACGGTGGAACTTCTAAGCGTTGCAGGCCTCCTGGACAAGTTGCGGCCAAAGAAGTTAAAGAATCTGCCGAGAAATTAGATTCTCGAAAAACATGTCGCAACTCTAGTCTCCAACTCCATCACATCATATCTCTGATAACCCGTACACGGCTACCATGCGCTCCGAGAGAAGTATCTTGGCCCAAAATTAAATCCATCACTCTTGCTGTCGACATTAGCTACCACTTGCCGATAACCAAGATCCTAAGCCAGTTGAAGGCCTTGGAACAACCCCCATAGCTCCGCTCCCATGATGGTAGTGAAACTAATATTCATTTCAAACCCACCAAGAAAAATACCATTACAGTTCCTAAGCATGCCGCCAACGCTAGCCATTCATGTTTCGAGATTAAAGGAGCCATCAGAATTTAATTTAATCCAATCCAAAGGAGGTTTCTCCTACTTGATCCATGTAACTCTGCTCAAGTCATGCACGCCCAAACGTGTCACCGAATTCGCTGCTGCTCTGTACCTGCTTACATGATTTCGAACTTCATGGGCCTTTCCCTCAGCTGAAATACGACACCAATAAATGTAGTTGCATTTATGCCGTTCCAAATGCGCCAAAGACATACACCGAAAACACATTCCCGGTCCAAAATTGTTTTAGCTTTTAAACACTTTTAAAAGGGCACTTCCTTATTTACAAGTACAAACTATTTCTTTGAAGATCACTATCTCTTTGATGGGCTCCCACTATCACACCAGGTAAATATATTTCCCAACTAATATTTGACTCGTAAATAACAAACGCTCCAACATAATAATAAAAGAAAAAAAAGATGTCTTCATAATTCTTTACTTTTCAACCATGATGAACTTGAGATTCTTTATTATGATCATGGCTTTTCCAGTAAGAACAAAATTCTTCATAATATGTTTTTTTTTTACCCGAATTGGCCTGATGTAGTGACTGGGACCTAATCGGCCAAAGTCTGGACCAGTTGGGGTGGGTCATTTGGATCAGGCACAAAGTACCCCATTGAAACTCGGTCGACTTGGTGAGTCATTTGGCCGATCAACTCGATTTTTCTTGACCATTATTTATATAGATTTTGTTTTTGTAAAATTTTGTAATTTTTTTATTTTTTTAAATTATAATGGTAAATGTTTATGACAAGATACAATATTATTAAGACGAATCAGTTCAGTAACAGGTCGACTTTGGACTCTAGAATAATCGGTTGAAAAATCAACCTCGAAGCAAGGAGGTCAATAAAGAACCTTAGAGGCAAGTTAGCTCAACGAATACCAAAACGGTAGAATATAGAAGGAACTGAGTTGTTAGCTCGTTTATACTAAGTTCAACCATCGATTACTGACTTAAGCGTTGGAGATTCTACGACAGGACAACCTTCGACGTTATTTGGCAAGTCATTCTATCGGTTTAATGATGGTTTAAAGGATGTCGAGTCGGTTCGACAGTAATGCCACTGGAATGTTACATCACAATGACTTGATAAATAAACATGTAATATAGCATACATTCTCAAGCCTAGAAACAGACATGACGACATTCGTTAATTTGAATGTCTAATTGGGCATTGTGATT